GTCTCAGTTCCCCATCTTTAAAAATGGTTCAAGTGGGGGTTTGGAGTGGTAGAACAGCGGGTAGGGCATTTGCCTTGCACACGCAGCTGACCCAGGTTCGATTCCCAGCATCCCATATGGTCCCCCGAGCACCGCCAGGAGTGATTCCTGAGTGTAGAGCCAGGAGTAACTCCTGTGCATATCCGGGTGTGACCCAAAATGCAGCAAAAAAAAGGGTTCAAGTGGGCTGGAGGGATAATACAGCGGGTAGGGCAGGACGTTTGCCTTGCAAGTGGCCAACCCAGATGCCAATCTCATGGCATCTCATATGGTCCTCCGAGCACTGCCAAGAGTAATTCTCGAGTGCAGAGCCAGGAGTAACCCCTGAGCATCGCCAGGTGTGACCCAAAAAGCAAAATAAATAAATGAGTTGACAATAATACGTAGGAAACACCTAGGAAAAACAGCAATACCTAAGAAGTCTGGTATATAATATTATCTTTCTGGGGGTTTGCTAATCAAACATTTAGAGCAATTAAAGGTTGCAAAAGGGACAGATAGTCCAGGGGCAAGGCAAACTTGTTCTGCATCCTGCAAACCCCAGTTCAAATCCCTGGCACCACAAATAGTTCTCCATGCATCACCAGCAGATATGAGCTCTCCACCCCTCTCAAAAAAGTTGGGAGAGAAAGGTGTAAGGTTAAAAAAAAAAAAAAAGTCTTGACAGTGAAAGATTTTCAAAGGGCTAGAGTAAGTTGAATCCCCAGGAAGTTCCTTGAACACCACTGGAGTAACAACACCTCAAGACCAAGTATTGCCAGGAGTGACTGTAGGGCCCCCAAACACTGTTTGGGGCCTCCCCCTTCTGCCCTCTTCCTGGCAAAAACATGTATCTGAAAACTTATAGAAGTGAAATAATACTACGGAAAAATCCTAATGACTATAACCCTAATGCCAACTGTAACAAAGATGATCAGATGAGAGAATATGGCCCAGCACTGCTCCTTCCTAACGTATAAAAACTCAAACCAGTGTCTAGGGAATTAGCTCAAGCAGTTTGAGTTTGAGCTCTTTATCAAATGGTTCTTCTAGAGAAGCTGGGTAGGAGCCAGAGTGATAATACAGCAGGTAATTTACCCAGCACCAGATATGTTCCCTGGGGATCTGCCAGGAATGATCCCTGAGTGCTGAGCCAAGAGTAAGCGCTGAGCACTGCAGGGTGTGTCCTTAAAACACAAACAAACAAAAAATTAAATAGAGAGGCTGGATATAGCTTTGGGGGTCCATGAATATGACTAATCACACTCTGCCAAAGCACATCAGAAATAGCATTCTTACTTATAAAAACTGATTTTAAAATAAGGAATAGTGATGCCAATGCAGTTCAGTCAAGGAGTCCATGCTTTGCACTTTGCAGGCATGAGGCTCTGGATTCTACCTTTGGCATCATGAACAAAACACCAAACCAAAAAAGACCTAACAAAAAAACAGCAGTGGCAATCCAAATCTCCTAACCATAATTTTCAACATGGTTTTACCTGGCTATCTAAATTTCAACTAACTGGGGGCTGGAGTGATAGTACAGCAGTCAGGGCATTTGCCTTGCATGCAACTGACCTGGGTTCAATCCCCAGCATGGCATAAGGTCCCCCAAACCTGCAGGAGTGATCACTAAGCACAGAGTCAGGAGCCCTGTGCACCTCCAAGTATAGCTCCCCCAAAATACAAATTTAAATAAACTAGAATCCAAAATAATTAAAATTTTAATTCTTTAGTTGCAGTAGTCACATTTCAAATGCTCAACAGACACATTTGTTTAGTTAATACTTTACTGGGTCAGGTAGTTCTTTAAACTATAATAAAGAAATTTTGTTTTCCTTTATTATTTTGGGGCCAAACCTGACAATGCCTGGGGGGACACTACTTGGAGTGAGGTCAAATCCAGGAAAGCTGAAGGCCAAGTGCATAACTCCTATACTATCTCTCTGGTCCTAACCAATGAAGAAAATTTTAAAAAGATTGTTTAGGGTGGCTGGAGAGAGTACAGTAGGGTAGGGCACTTGCCTTGCATGAGGCTGAGCCAAGTTCATCTACAGTACCCCATAGGGTCACCCCAGTCAGTCAGGAGCAATTCCTAAGCATAGGGTCAGGGGTAAGCCTCAGCACAGCTGGATGTGTACCCCCCCAAAAAAAATCGCTACTGGAGCTGAACCTCAATGCTGTTTTGCAACAACAAACAGGGAGATTCTTAATACAAAGGTAGTAAGCCAAGCAACTTTAATTTTGGACTAGGTTCAACTTCTAGCTATGCCACTAAAAACCTGTAAGGCCTGGACATCATTAGGCAGCACAATATAATGGTTAAAAAGCATGGTTGGTGAGGCCGGAGAGATAGCTCAATAGGTTGGAGTACATGCAAAAACATGCATGAGGTCCAGGTTTGGGCCACCAGCACCACATGGTTCTATAAGCAACTCATCTCAGCACAAAGCTGAGTAGCCCTTGAGAACTGCCAAATGTAGCCCTAAAATCAAAATAACAAAAAGCACGCTAAGGGATCAGGGAGATGGTGCATGTGGAAGCCCTGGGCTCGGATCACCTGGGAGTAGATTTGGGCAGTACTGGGTGTGACCCAAATATAGTAAGTCATATCATCTCTGGACTACTTGGATTTGAATTCCAGTACTTACTGGGCAAGTTACTGCACATCTCTCATTTTTTTATCTCTACTACTATCTACAATAGTACTTACCTTCCAGGACACTGAGATAGTTTTTTTGTTTGTTTTTGAGCCACACCTGGCTGTGCTAGGGCTTACTCCTGGCTGGGCTCAGGGAACCATTTGGGGTGTCAGGGATAAAACCAGGGACAGCCATGTGCAAGGCAAGCACTATACCCACTGCACTACTGCTCTGCCCCTTAAGATTACTTTTAAGAGCACTTAGAATAAAGTGAGGCATAAGTACATAGAAGTGTGTTGAATTGAAATAATCTCTAAAGCTATTTCTTCAATTTCAAACCGGATAGGGGAAAGCTCTCCATATGAACATGTAAGGGCAAGAAGGGTTGGGACCAGAGTGACAGTACAGCAGAAGACCTGGGTTTGATGCCCAAGTATCCCAAATGGTGCTCTGAACACTGCCAGGACTGGATCCCTGAGCACCACTGGGTGTGGCCTAAAAAAAAAAGAGCACAAAAAGTGCTCTTATGATAAGGGAAAGGGCAGGGTTTTGTCTTTCACCTTTGTTCCTCATCCACAATATCCATGAAATTGCTGTACCAATAGTGGGCTTTTTATACACGTATTTTCATTTAAATTGGGAGTATCATGCTCTGTAAGGGGTAAACCCTCATAACACTTACTGAAGGAAAAGTGTAAGTACAAACTTAATTGTCGCAAGGGAGTAGAATTTTCCTACCTCAACTAGAAAGAACTTTAGAAAGAAAAATGTGCTATATTATTTTAAAACAAACAGGCTCCTGAGCCTTTAACAAAGTATTCTCAATTCCCCTGTTTTCCCACCTCATACAGAATAGATAAGTAGGCTATAACTATCAGAAAATTACCTCTCTGGGAAAGAAAAACTGTTTTCTTAAAGCTACAATTAACACGTAGCATAAACTAATTTGCCCCATACTCTCTCACAAACCGTAAAGTAGTCATCACTGGGAATCTCATTAAAAACCCTTACCAGCCCTTTTTCTTTTTAAATTTGCATATATATTTTGTTTGGGGGGGCCACAACCGGTGATGCTCTGGGACCCACCTGGGATGACTGGGATTGAGCCCTCTGGTCGGTCTCTCAAAGACTATATTTAACGAAAATGCAAACCGACACTATCGACAATTCAAATGTAAAGCCTCAAACTTTCGAGAAATCATGCCACCAGGGTAGAAGATAAAATAGCCTACACAGGTCCCCCCCCAAAAAAAAAGTTTTCTGTTGAAATAAATGTCAAAAACTGCCAGCTGTTAGTTCGTCTCTTATAGCAAACCCGAGGTCAAATTCTCAACTCTGCAGCGTTTATGAAGTGATGGGATTGCAGAATCGGGGAAGAACGACAAAAGCAAGCACCCACTGCCCCTCATCCGAGCCACTTGGAACATCCCTCCAGCTAGCAAGCTTCCACAAGGATCTGAAACAGCAAACCTCGCTCCAAGTCCAAATTGGTGGTGGCAAGCAAGGCGAGCAAGCACCGGGGGGGGGGGGGGGGGGGGCGGCTCCCGATAGAGAGGAATTAAAAGCAGACCACAATCCAAAGAACAAGAACTGAATGGGCCTCTCAAGTTCACGCGGCACAAAACTCTCCAGGCGGAAGAGTTTCCCTCTCCCCGGGCCTGCAAGCAGCAGCAGAAGATGCCACTTCGCTTGAAGAGCTGGGGGAGGACGATGCAGGAGCAGGAGCTACGAGCACGGGAAGGTAGGGCCCGCGCCGGCAGCAGAAGGCTCCAGTCGGCGGCGCGCCAGCCCGCCCGGGCCCGCGCCCGCGCCCCTCGCTTTCCCCCACCCCGGCTCCCGAGCAGCACGCACGCGCACCAAGCAGGGGCTGCGCGTGGCGACGCGCAGGCGTGAAGTGGGAAGAAACAATGAGCTTTGTTGCCGAGGCGGTGGGAGGGGGGGTGCGCAGGGGGAAGAGGGTATCAGAGCTGGGGGGGCGGGAGGACGGGTGTGCTGAGATGGGGCGGTAGGGGGAGAAAGCGCGATCCCGGCAACCCTCGCGCGCCACCGAAGACCCGGATAGAGCTGCGAGCTCCAATTCATAAATAATAACAATGAGCTCTAAAGCGACCGCCATATCTCAAGGAAGAAAAGAGACGGGGTCAGGCCACGTCCATCCCTTAGACTCTCGGCTTACAGAGGCAAGGAACAAAGGAGGCTATTCGGGGTTCGGGGGCCGACAACCCTAGGGACCCTCTAGGCGCCCCCCATCACCCCCCCACCCGCTCCGCCGTCGCCGACCCTTGAGCGCCGGTGCCGCGCAGCAACCTGCACGCCGCTCCGCCCGAGGGAACCCCTCACCCAGTGCACGGTAGCGGGGTCGGCAGCCAACGAATCCGGTCGGCCTCCGCGGATCTCCACAGGCAGCGCCGCTCCCCCGCTCGACGCGCGCTTCGACCGCCGCCTCCCTTCTCCAGTCCAAACAAACAGCCCAGCGCGGAAGTGACTTCACTTCCGCCCCGCCAGCCCCGCCCTCCCGTTCGGGCAGCGCTGCCCGCCGCTGCCACTAGAGCGCGCGCGAGAACGCGAGACCCCCCAAACGTCGGCTGGGCGGCCCCGGCTCCCGCGCGCTTGCGTAACGGCTCTTCCGACGTACCTGGGCGGCGGCAGGCCACCCCGCGAACCTGCAGTTCTTTTCGGGAGAGCGGAGCGAGTGGGTGGGCCGCGGTCCCCCTCACTCGCCCATCCTCTAGGAGTGATGGGATTGCGGTGAGCCCAGGAGCAGCGGCCTCCAGAAGACCCTGACCGCACACACTGACGTGGGCTCACCTGTCCGTTACCTCAGACACCGACACGGCAAAGGAACCTCCAGACAACGACTGCACGTTCATACAGCCAGACACAGCCACCCAAGACAGCGTCCCACGAATCCTAACTTGCACCGAGTCACATTTAGAGATCATGACGCAAACGTGAACGCAGAAACTGAGGCCGATCCAGAGGCGTAACAACTGATCTACCTGCAACTACTCGCAGACACATTCAGGCTCACCCACTGGAAAACGACACCTGGGCACAGCCACGCAAAGAATGGACACACGCGGTGTCCAGGCAGCCTGGGAAAGCTTTCTGGAAGTTAAGGGAATGGATAACTGGTTCAGAGAGAAAAGGGCAAGACCTCTGGGTCGCTTATTTCCTAGTCGCTGATTCCAAAATTCTGTGCCGCATTTTCTTGTTATATTCTTGGCAAATCCTAATATATATATATATATATATATATATATATATATATATATGCGACATTTAGATAGTGTATAGTTTAAAAATATATATATATATATATACACTGCATGTTTGAGTATCTAAAAAAAAGTGAACCAAATCTATGTTGTATTTTTGTTGAAATCTAGTATACAAAGTTGTTCCCTGTCCCCCAAATTTAGTATACAAAGTCTAGTGGTTTGGATCCGGATCCAGTACACAAAAAGGAACTTTGAAGGAGAAAACACAAAAACTGGCCATTCCTTCTAGGGAAAGAAAATGGGAGACAGATTTTTTTGGTTGGCCTGGCAAACTCCCCATGGCATATTCAATATGCCAAAAACAGTAACAATAAATCTCACAATGAAGACGTTAATGGTGCCCGGTTCGAGCGAATTGATGAATAACAGAGGACGGTGCTACAGTTTATATTTTTCATTGTTTGTTTTTTGATCACACTTGTAGGTGCTCAGGATTTGCTGTTGGCTCTGTGCTCAGGGATCAGTACTGGCTATGCTTAGGGGGCACTTTTTGGGTGGCATGGATTGAACTGGGATAGGCTGTGTGCAAGGCAGATACCCCACCTGCTATATTTGGTCCTCTTTCAACTTTGGAAAAATAAGCTTTTAAAAAAACACTGTGCTAGGGGCTGGAGCAATAGCACAGCGGTACGGCATTTACCTTGTATGCCGCCGACCCCGGGTTTGTTTCCCAGCATCCCATATGGTCCCCTGAGCACTGCCAGGGGTGATTCCTGAGTGTAGAGCCAGGAGTAATTCCTGTTCATCACTGGGTATGACCCCAAAAGCAAGAAACAAAAAGACACCATGCTAAAAACAAAATCAAAAACATCTAAAAAAGCTTTTAGGACCAGAGTAGTAGTACAGGACTGGTTGCTTTGCATTCATCCTGCCACCCGAGATGGTCCCGAGTATGGCCAAGAGTTATCTCTAAGCATGGAGTCAGAAGGAGCACAGCATATGTGACCCTAAACACAAACAATAAAACTCACCATGTTCTTAAAATCTACTTTCTACTAAAAGTCCTTTAGGTCCTTTTAAGACCATTTCAAAGTCTCCTTTGCGTCAGTTCAAAATCCCAAACAAAAATCATGAGCTGTATGCCAAAGGTCCAGGGTTAAGCCAACTTGGCTGTTTTCAAATCTTCACACTAAATTGGGAAGGTTGTGGCTTTGATATATATTTCTGGTTAGGGGATGTCGCTATTTTATAGGTTTGTGAAATATAATTAATCAAGGGAATCTGAAAGATAAGAGTTTGGAAGGAATATGAGAAGGTAGAACAGAATTAAGATGTTTCATACATAGGGGGCTAGAGCGATAGTGCAGTGGATAGGGCATTTGCCTTAAATGAAGCCGACCTGGGTTTGATCCCAGGCAATCCCATATGGTCCCCTGAACACTGCCAGGAGTAATTCCTGAGTGCAGAGCTAGGAGTAACCTCTGACCAACACTAGACGTGATACAAAAAGCCAAAAAAAAAAAAAAAGATCTTCCCTATGTAGGGCCAAAACACTAGTCCAGTGGGGTAGGGTGCTTGTTTGTCTTGCATGTGGCTGGCCCAGGTTCTATCCCTAGTACCCCATATGTTCCCTCCCTACACGTAACATGAAATGCCAGGAGTGATCCCTGAGCAAAGGGTGAATGCCCTGAGCAATGCAAGGTGTGACACAAAAACAACAAAACAGATGTTTCATATGTAGTTGACCCAGACACTTAGAACCTAATTACGAGAGAGAGAGTATAGCAGATAGGGTGCTTGCCTTACTCCTGGCAGACCCAGATTGCTGCCTGAGCACCACCAGGAGTAATTCCTGAACAAAAGCCAAAATAAGTTCTGATTGCTGATGTCTGTGATACAAAAAAAAAAAAAAAAAAAGGAACAAAAACCAGAGGAACGGACCAGAGAGATGATGCATCCGGTAGGGTGCTAGCCTTGCATATAGCCAACCTGAGTTCAAATCCTCAACACTCCATATGGTCCCCCAACCCAACAGGTGTGATCCCAGAGCTGAGAGCTAGTGATCTTCCTGTAAGCCCTGAGCACTGATGCCGGGCATGGCAAAATAGAAATATCTTTTTTTTTTTTTTGCAAAGCTGTTTGGTCTGGAGAGATAGTATAGAGGGTAGGGCACTTGCATTGCACATGATTGACCTGGGTTTGATCACCAGCACCCCACATGGACCCCTAAGCACCACCAGGAGTAATTTTTTTTTTTTTGCCTTTTTTGGGTCACCCTGGCTCTGCACTCAGGAATTACTCCTGGCAATGCTTGGGGGACCATATGGGATGCCGGGGATTGAACTGATATGGGGATTGAACCCAGGTCGGCCGCATGCAAGGCAAACACCCTACCCGCTGTGCTATTGCTCCGGCCCACCAGGAGTAATTTCTGAGTGCAGAGCCAGGAGTAATCCCTAAGCATCACTGGGTGTGGTCTAACCCCCACCTCCTAAAAAACCCAAAACTAAAACCACCATCTAGTCATGAAATTTATAAAAGTAACAGATCACTAGATTAGTAATATTTAAAAATCATGTTTTTTCAGCACAGTGGTGTCAGGATGAATTTCCAGTTCAAAGTGAATTCACCGCTGTTGACAGAAAAAGTTCGATGAGAAGTGGCTGGAGAAATAGTAGTCAGCAGGGCACTTGTCTTGCACGCAGCTGATCTGGGTTCAATTCTCAGGATTCCGTATGATTCCCTAAGCCCTCCAGGAGTAATTCCTGAATGCAATGCTAGTAGTAGTAACCCTTGAGCACCCTGGGTGTGTCCCGCAGCTTCCCTCCCTGAAAAAAAGAAATCAGTTTAGGGGCTGGAGAGAGAGCTCAATAGGCTGAATGCAGGTTTTACTTGTAGGAAGCCCAGGTTTAACCCATGTAACTGCAAGATCTCCAAACACTTTGGGAGTGGCCCAAGACTTAAAACAAACAAAACCCCCACCTACTAATAAAGTAAAATAATCAGTTTGGTTCAGATAGTAAACCATAGTCTGTTTTAAGTGTTTCAAAAATGTACAATGTTAACTTGTGATGGAGATTGAAGTAAAAATAAGAAAAGGTGAAAAGAGGCCCAGGATGACAACAACAACAAAAAAAAAACAAAAAAACTCATCAATAAGAAATTGGTTAAAAATTATACTGTAACAAAATTGTTATATATACCTTGAGATGAAATACTAATATAATAAGGCAGGCTGTAAAAGGGTATAAATACTCTTCTAAATTACCTTTGTAAATATATGTATGCAAATGTAAATATTTGATAGAAGAGCAACTGATGTAATAGTGATCTCTAGGTGGTCAGACTTTGAAGGATCTATATAAACATTTATACCACTGGAACTCTATGAAAGCTTGAATTAATTTGTAAACAAGAACAAAAACCACACCTCAAATAAAACCTAACACTTCATATATTAATTTGTATCAATCTGGTTGCTATGTTCATTTGTATGGTAGAAGCTAGGAAAAATATGAGTAAGGACTTAGACTGTGGATGATTCCTGCTCTGAATATTTACAATCCAGGTGAAAAAACTATTTCCAAGAGTTTTTTCTTTTGAGCGATAGCACAGCGGGTAGGGCGTTCGCCTTACAAGCGGCCAACATGGCCGACCCGAGTTCGATTCCTCCTCCCCTCTCGGAGAGCCCGGCAAGCTACCGAGAGTATTGGATATGCCAGACACAGTAACAACAAAGTCTCCAATGGAGACGTTACTGGGCCCGCTCGAGCAAATCGACGATCAACGGGAGGGCCTTTACCTTTTACCTTTACCTTTTCTTTTGAGGGGAAGGGCCATATTCTGAGGTGCTCAGGATGGCGTTTGGGGAACCTATATGTAGTGTCAGGAATCAAAGCATTGTGGCCATAGCCACATTCAAGGTAAAGTACCCTAGTCTATCTCAAAGTCTTGCTGAAGTTTATATGATCAAATCCCTCACATCTGTTACAATAGCTACTATTAAAAACTTACGGGATGGGGGGTCCAGAGAGATAGCACAGGGGTTAAGGTCTTGCCTGCATGTGACTCACCTTGGTTTGATCCCCAGCACTACATATGGTTCCCCGGTTCCTACAGGAACTGCCAGAGGTAGCCCTTAAGCACAAATAGTTATGGCCCCAGGTTCTCCCTCCCATCCACAAAATACAAGCATATAGGCAAGGATGTAGGAAAAGTGAAACTCTTATGCACTCTAGGTGGGAAATTAACATAGTACTGCCAC